ATCCCCTCACTGATTACACTGTAAATGATAATCTACCTTAACCAAAATCAAAGTAGACTATCACTTACCCACACCAGATGGAAAACTCTACAGACTGTCGGTTCACACCCCATCACAAGCCAGCAAAACATCTACGAAACAAAGAAAGGTATGTCGCAGCCAAAAAATACACTCCAGACACGCCGCTGGCACTAGAGGCAGAGCATGGCCGCCTAGTAACGGCCCCGACCACTGCCGCTCGACCTGACTGGAAAAAAGCGTAGCAGGAAGCTAGCGAAGTCGTAGCATATATCATCACAAACAGAACTGCCCGGTAAACCGTAGGCAGAGAGAGAGAAGAGGATAACAAACGAGGGGCTGTGACAAACTGTTTTGTCGGAGTTTCACCGACTCATCAGGAGGCTGAGCCCTCAACAGTCTGCAGAATCCGCTCACTGATTACACTGTAAATGATAATCTACCTTAACCAAAATCAAAGTAGACTATCACTATATATATATGGTATGGTAGCCCCCCCTGCCCCCTTCTCCCATCTCTTTTTCTTTCTCTCTCGCACTCTCTGTCTCTCTCCCTCACTCATATTAACAAATGGAACCAAACTCTCTCTCTCTCTCTGGTAACCCCCCCCCTCCCTCTCTCTCTCTCTCTCTCTTTCTTTCTCTCTCTCACTCATATCAATCAATGGAACAAATCTCTCTCTCTCTCTCTCTCTCTCTCTCTCTCTCTCTCTCTCTCTCTCTCTCTCTCTCTCTCTCTCTCTCTCTCTCTCTCGTGCGCACTCTTAGTTTCATTACTTTGGCTATCGTAGGGCTGCATTCCCCGCGCCCACGCGGTAGATAATATAACAGTTTTCACTGCTCCTTCCACCATTCCCACCATTCCCACACTCCATCCGGTAGGGAGCAGTCTACCCAAAGGTGGGATGACTTCACGGCCCTCTGAAGGCCGACTTACCCTGGCCGGTAATACAGGCAGGGGAGGTGATAGAGCATCCTCCCATAGTAGGACTGCTTTAACGGCTCCTGTGTTTTGAATGACTTTGAGAGATTCGAAAGTTGTTAGTTCGCAGCCCGTCAGGGGTGCGTTTTATGCCCCTGAGAACATTTTTCGGCGTCCTTCGTTATACTGTTGTTGGAAGGCTGGAACAACAAGGCATGGCAGTTCAGGGGGTGGTGGCATCTTATTTGAAACTGCAGGACCGATAGTTGTCCGTGGGACCGCACGGGTTTTGGTCCAGGACCTCGTAGGACCGGTAGCTGCGCATAGGAGGCCGAGGAGGCCGCAGTCCTTTTTCGAAATTGAAACGGTGAGGGTCCACTTTTCTCGAATAGCAGAGTTCCTCGAATAGAAAACACACACGTTGTATTCGAATACAACATGTACCCTTTCTACTCGGATTTCGAAAAGAAAAAACTCTTGTATTCCGATAAAATTACTTCTTTTTTTTGTTGGAGGTCAGCGCCTGCCCTTGTGCTCCCCG